GCTGAGAATGGCCACAGTGTCTGTTCCTGAAATGCATTCCTGCCCAGAAGCCTGGGGGACAGCAAGTGACCATTGCCCCCACTCCTGCAGGTCACCCTGTGATATGCTGCATTCCGTTCACATTCTACAGTCAGCACCCACATTCTATTAGGCCCTCCAGACTTCACCCCCTTTAAAGATAACACAAGGTTCTGCAGGTTGGGCAAATAAAAACACTCAAGAAAGTATACGTAACAGCTCCACCTACGACCATTAATGGTACAACGAAGTCCCTTCTCTTGGTTAGAGATGCAGCTTGTCCCACAAATGACAGCAGTGGGATGTACACAGTCTAAAACAGAAGAGCGAGAGGTGCAGCATTGCGAGCTCAGCTCAGTGGCTGGGCTCCGCGTGGGAGCACCTGCCACACACCGTCAGGAATGCCTAAGCAACGAACAATCTCACAGCATTACTTACCCTCCCTTGATGTAGTCAAGGAAAGAAACTTCTGTTTCTACCAAGAAGGAGCGTAACGTTACCTGGAAAAGAAAGCCAGAATTAGCTCTAGCAGAACTAACTGTAACCCCGAAGGACATTTTTCCCCTAAAGGACACAGAGAAAACCCTACTTCCTAGCGTTTGGAAAAAGCACTAAATATATGATAGTTTATTAAAATCTGCTAGGACTGACTGCTCTTACGTTGAAAATTAGCAGAAGAGACTGGACCAGAAAAGAAGAAAAAATTAACTCCTTTCTATGACCAGTTTTCTCTCTTTGAAGAACAGCTTGAAAATTGTCTAAGAGGACACTGTGCTCCTTCTGATTTTAGATCAAAGGGGAGATGAAAGGGCGCTGGAAAATGGTTCAAACTGAAAACCCAGAGTCAGTGAGCCACCCTGCAGAGGGAGGGGCCCGGCGCTTCTGACTCGGCTCTGTGCACGATCATCTTCCCTGCGGGTGTCCTGCCTCTCAGGAATCCTTACACAGGAACGCAGAGAAAACTCAGATTTTGCCTCTCCAAAGGAAAGTTAATCTCAGGGGGAAAATTTCAGTATTTTTTTACTCAATAAGAAGATTTCTTTTTTTTTTAACACAATTTTCAGATACATTCATCTTTGCACCCTACTGCACTGATTTAGCACAGCGTCCATTCCCACAGTTGTAACGTTTAATGCATTATCAACGAGCACCTTCACACCCCGTAAAATAAATCTACTTAACAGTTAAGGGCGACATTAAGGGTATAGTCTTTCTACCGTTTTTTAAAAAATTTTATTTGACAGATAGAGTTAGACAGTTAGAGAGAGAGAGACAGAGAAAAAGGTCTTCCTTCCGTTGTTCACCCCCCACCACAATGGCAGCAACAGCCGGAGGTACGCTGATCTGAAGCCAGGAGTCAGGTGCTTCTTCCTGGTCTCCCATGTGGTGCAGGGCCCAAGTACTTGGGCCATCCTCCACTGCCCTCCCAGGCCACAGCAGAGAGCTGGACTGGAAGAGGAGCAACCAGAACTAGAACCTGGTGCCCATACGGGATGCCTGCACCACAGGCAGAGCATTATCCAAGTGAGCCATGGCGCCGGCCCCAGGTCTTTCTAAATATGACTTGAACTTTTCCATGTCTGCCTGATTCTCTGTACTCTGACTCCAATGAAGAACACACGAGCTTCCCTCCAGGAACTCAGCCCACAGGAGGACCTGCAGGAAGCCAGGCCACCAGCCCCAGCGGGTGTGCTCCCCTGTGATCACTCCCTAGGCAGGCGACTCCTGTGTCATGTTCACAGTGCAATCCTACGTGAAACAAAGCCCCAGTCTTACTTGTTTCCAGCCTGATTTAAAATGTCCTCTTGGGCTTTATTCATTAATTTTAATGTTTAATGGGTAACACAAAAATTGACTTACTGTTCCAGAATTCGTATACTTTTTCTTTTTTCCTTTCTTTTTGGGATTCACCACCTAAAAAAACAGATGAAACAATTCAAACCCGTTAGGTAATTTTGAAGACGGTAGTTTAATCGGCTGCCTTGGCGTCTGGTGCAGGTATTGCTTTACAAATGCTTTGAGGACTCCTGGCCAGTTATCTGGGCACTGCTTCTCTGCACACTTGCTGGGGAGACTCGGGAAAGAGAGCTTCGTTTGTCAGAGGTACTCTCCTCACTCACCTGATGCACTGAGTATCTTTCACCATCTGCTTCTTGGGAACAGGTTGTTAACATCCAAGGCCCACAATAATTATTATTACTTTCTAGAAAATTTAAAGTGACGCATATCTAAGAAATGTAGCTTGTTAGAATTAAATACCCTAATACAACAGATCACCCAACATGTGAATATCTAAGAGGTTTACCAACCTATCAATTGCTTCATCATGTTAGTAATTTCCACGGAATGCCCATACTACCTAGTAGGTAGTCTATTTTATTGACACAAGACTGATTTTTTTGACCATTGGTTTCGTGAAGAAGTATCAATGCAGTATCAATGCACTCCTACATTTGAACAAAACTGAAGGCACCAAAGAACAAGAAAGAAGAGTGCCACCTGTCAATCTCACAGGATTAATAAAATACAGTAGTGCCTTAAGAGGCTCTGCCAGCTCTTCTCAACCCACAGCATGGGGACAGCACTTGACCGGGAAAGAAAGATGAAAGACTTTATGAGTAAGTACTATTTGAGCCAGAATTTATTAACGTAAACCAGGGTTCCAATAAAAATGAAATGAACAAAGACAGCAGTCTAGAAAGGGTTTGACTGAAACAGAGGTCACAGACAAACAGATTCAAAATGAGTCTGAAATAGTGAGCGGGAGCCATGTTGAGGAGATCCTAAATATCAGTGCGCAGGGTTGGGACGCTCTTCAACTGAGGTTTCAACCAGAGCACAGTCTACTCAGTCGACAGCACAGAGATCCACGCAGAGAAACTGGAGACAACAGTCAGGATTCTATTTCTAACTACCTATGAAGAGGTAACGAGGCACTGGATAAAGCAGTGCCAGGAAGCCTGGCTCCCAAGGAGAAGTCAGAAAACAGATTAAACTGGATTAGGACCACCACTACAGAGGGCCTATGTCAGCTGTACTTCATATGTCTGCCTCTCCCATTACACACTGACATTTTCTAGTCATCTTTGTATCCCCAGAGGGATACACAAAATATGGACTATGGAAGACATTTAGTAATTTTTACAAGTGTACAAATTAGTGTGTGGAATACTTAGTGCAGTAAGAAGGTGGTAGGTGAAGGAGACTCCTTCACTTTTAACTTAAAAGAGGCCAATTTTAATGTCCACTCGGCAGAGAAAGGTTATTATTCTTGACGAAACACTAATAATAATATTTTCCTTTGACCCCCACAAGTATTAAATTATAGGAACACAGCAATACCACAGCTCAAGGATGAACAGTGCTAAACTACGCCAGGTGTCCCAACACATGCTTGCTGATCAACTAGTGGAGTGCTTTAAGGCAGAAGTAACTACTGTGGACTTGCTTTAATAAATGGATTTTTTTAAGATTTATTTATTTCAAAGGCAGAGACATACAAAGTGAGGAAGAGACGGAAAAAGAGATCTCTTCACTAGTTCGTCCCCTAAGCCAGGAGCCAGGAACTCCATCCTGGTCTCCCATATGGGAAGTGGGCCCAAGTACTTGAGCCATCCTCTACTGCATTCCAGGCCCATTAGCAGGGAAGTGGATCAGAAGATCAGCAGGGACTTCACTGGCATTCCAAATAAGGGCGCCAGAGGTGTCACAAGCAGCAGCTCAATCCAGGGCCACACTGCAGGCCCCAGCATGATTTCTTATTGACTGTGCATGGCCTTGTCACTCCCTCTAGTTTGCACATGAAAGAGAGCAAAGGCACTCTGCAGATCACAGGCCACTGTGCAGTGCCACTGATCACAACTGAAGCACATTCTCTTTTCTTATTAGGGAAGTTTTGGTGGGCAAGTTGGTAGGAAGACAAAATATAAAAGATGAAGCTTAAAAAATTAACATATCCATACTTAATTTTTAAAGTTTCACATGCAAAAATTCAAGATCACTCCAGATTTAAAAGGCCTTGGGACTTGAAGAGAAATAATATCATTTAGTCTAAGAAACAAGTTGGCTAAAGGAATTTAAATATTCTTAAAATCATATATTGTTGCTAAGTTAACCTGTGGCACTTATCCTTATCCTTTGCAAAATCCATATTTTTAAGACATAGAGTTACTGAAAGTGATTAAAATAAAATGCTTCTCACCTCGTATACATTGAATTAGGACTGCCCTCTAGAATGTTCCCGGTAGTTTGTTGTAAATTCTCCAATGATATCGTGACTAAAAAGGAAAAAAGTATACATTAAGTCAAGAGATCGTGGAAAAAGCTTGCTATTATTATGCATGTAATAATTAGTAACTCTAAGAGATGGATATATCATTGTCCTCTAATTGAAAATCATGTATATACAAGTCTTATTTTTATTAATATTCAGATGTGTAGTCCACCAAAATTCATTTTTACATAGGTATATTAGTATTAAGATCTGCAATCTCAAAAATATTATTTGTTATTAAAATAATTATTTAATAGGATGAAAATTGGAGACACTCCAATTCATTCATCAATGAAATAATCAAAAATATACAGAAATCTTCAAACTTTCCTGTGGCTGGGGGTAATAAGACACCACTACAGAAAGAAATGACATGCTAGCATGTCTAACAGTCACCAATCTGCTCTTTAATGACAGCAATTAACAAGCGTTTTGCTAGCACCAACCTGGTAATTCTAAATGTCATCACTACTTCTCGGGGGCCTTCTCAGTTTAGTGAGGAGGGGAAAGAAGTGAGTAAGCAGGGGTGAGTTCTCACTGAGGCTGACCCACGCTTGCACAAAATAAACGTTCAGCACTCAGCCGCAGGGAGAGGACTTCTATTCTACTCCTCTGGAATCAACGTAATGCCCAATACTATGCTGAACACACAATGCTCTCTCCCTTTCTCTCTCTCTCTCTCTCCCCGAGGCTGGCAGGGTGGAAGAGGGCGCCCCGCCACCCCCCGGCATCCCGCCCCACCACGACCCCCTCTACAGCTCGGCTGAGTCGCCTCGCCAAGAGCGAGTCTTGCAACCCGGGGCATTTTCTGGGGAGACGCCCAGTCTGAGGGCTGCTGGAACTGACGGGGAGGGACAGGCGTCCGGGACGGCCGGGTGAGCGGGTCCTGGCGGGGTGGGGGGCAGGGCCGCGAGGCTGGCAGGGTGGAAGCGGGCGCTCAGCGTAGCACCACCTCGAGGGGACAGGGAGGGCCGGCCCGGATGGCTAGGGACGCTGGAAGTCTCGCAAGAGTACGAGCTGGGCCCCAGGGGCGCCTCCTGGCAGGGCATCCCGCTGCCCAGCGGAGGCCTGGCGACCAGGATGCCGGACCCGTCTCGTGAGCTGGCCCCGCTGCCCGGCCCAGGCGCGACGCCAACAGATGCTGCGGGGCTGGAGGCGGGGGACCCTCAGCCGGTAGCGGCCGGCGCGGTCCGCACCAGCCTCGACAGCCGCCGCCGTCGCCCGCCCCGGCGCTCCCCGCTCACGGGGCCTTACCGAGGCACTGTCCCACCGGCGTGCTGAACGGATTCCCCAGGAGGAACTCCATCTTGCACGGAAAGCGCGGCGGCGGACGGGGCGTCCAGTCTGCCCGCCCGGGTCTCCGCCGTCCCCAGCCGCGGTCCCGACCTGACTGACACTCGCCCCCGCCCCACGCTCAGGAACGCCGAGCCCCGGGCCCTTGGCCACGCCCCCTTGATACGTCTCAATTGGGCAACGCCTACAGAGCCCTCATCCGATTGGCCTTCGCCTCTACCTCAGCGAAGCTCCCACCCACCCCGCGGCGTCCGATTGGCCAGAGAGCGAGCTTGAGCTCTGGAGTCCCCGTCAGGCGCTACGTAGCGGCTCCTCCTCTGGCCCGCCTCCGAAAGAGAGGCTTTGCGTGTTGATTCGCCCATATGTCCGTCAAGCTAGAGAATCCTTAGTATTATTGGATGAAGGACGAGTCAATCACTCAAACCGGGGCAAGGAGAGGCGGTGCATCCACGAATATCCCCGCCCACAAAAAGTGCTGATTGGGTAAACGGTTGTTTGCTCTAAGCCTGGTTGGTGTGGTAGGATTTCCCCGCCCCAAGAACTGATCACGTGATGCGTCCACTTTCACCCAGGATGTCTACCTCTTAACTTCCCCTTAGCGACCGAGCGGGCGGCGCTTAAGGTTCCCTAGCAACCGGGGGACGCTGTTGCTACGCGGACCCAGCCTGGAAGCTGGCGCCTGAGACGAGAGGAGAGGAGACCCGGGGCGGACAGTGGGGAGAGAGGTCGGTCCACTGGTGTGCTCTCGAGATAACCTCAAAAGCCCAGGTCTCCCGCGTGGGCGGTGGGGCCGCGAGCACTTGAGCCGGCACCCGCCCCTTCCCAGGTGTGCATTGTTAGCAGGAAGCGGGAGCCAGGAGCTCCCGGGACTCGAACCCCGGCACCCCAGCACGAGATTTTGTGGGTGCCCAGCGGTGTCCTAAGGGCTGCCGAATCCCAGCCCCCTCTGCGAAGTGAGCTCACGGCCCTGGGAACCAGCCCACCTCACGCTGGCTTCAGCTAGCCACAACAACTTAGTCTTGGGCTTTCTTGGGGGTGAGGAAGGAGAGGGTAAGGGCTCGGGCCAGAAAAGATTTTTTTTTTTAAGATTTATTTTATTCTTTGAAAGACAGAGTTAGTAGGTAGAGCCAGAGAGAGGTCTCCCCTTCACTGGCCCACTCCCCAAATGACCACAACAGCCAGAGCTGCAACCAATCCGAAGCCAGGAGCCAGGAGCTTCTTCCAGGTCTCCCACGCTGGTGCAGGGACTTGGGCCAGCTTCACCTGCTGTCCCAGGCCGTAGCAGAGAGCTGGATTAGAAGAGGAGCAGCTGGGACTAGAACCGGCGTCCATATGAGATGCTGGCACCTCAGGCCAGGGCATTAACCTGCTGCGCCACAGCGCCAGCCCCTTAAACCTTTCCATACACAGTGTGCTTGCTCTCCTGTCTGCTGATCATTCCTCCAGGTTCCGGCTGTCATCGTCAACCTCTGCACGTCTGTGTGATCATTCTCCCTTGGCTTTGGCTGGGAATGCAGGGTCGTCCCTATTAGTAACTCCACTGTGTGACCTTGGCCAAGTACCTTCTTCCCCTCCACCGCGTATCTGAACCCTGTGCCGTGTCCCGGCCTGCAGAGCTGGCGTGTAATTCAATAGTGCGTGTGCGCAGAGTCCACGCAACCCCTGTTAGTGGCTGCTCCCCTCCTTAGTAATTCATGGGCACTGGGAACTGTGCGTCGCAGAGCCGATTGGCCACGGTTCCTGTTTCCCAGGAAACTGCTGCACCTGCTTCCCGGCGAAGAGGCTCTTCAGGTCGCAGCAGCGTCGGACTTGAAGCTGCTGTCTCTGCCGCCTAACTCTGGGCTCACTGACGCCACTGACAGGCAAGTTCGGCGGGACCCGCCTGGGTGGGAATTACTGACGTATCCCCACCGCACAGGGCTGTTCGGGCCTCATCCCTGACCTGGGACAGCTGTGAGAAACCCTTGTGCACGGTGGCAGTGAGAGTGTCTGGAACCCTGGGTACAGCTGAGCCATGCTTAGGAAGATGGGTCCATTTCTTACCTGGAAACTGGGGTTCGTCCTATGTGTAAATCGAGTCCCCAGGGAGCTCTCAAGTGTGACCCCCACCTCGGTTGTCACCAACCTCACTCCTCTTGGGGTTCTCAGTACTGTAGCTGGAATGTGCTTCTTAGAATTATTAAAGTCCAGGGGCCGGCGCTGTGGCATAGCGGGTTAATGCCCTGGCCTATAGTGCTGGCATCCCATATGGGTGCTGGTTCGAGACCCAGCTGCTCCACTTCCGATCCAGCTCCCTGCTAATGGCCTGGGGAAGCAGGGGCCAAGTGCTTGGGCCCCTAAACCCACGTGGGAGACCCATAAGAAGCTCCTGGCTCCTGGCTTCAGGTCAGCACAGCTCCAGCCATTACAACCATTTAGGGAATGAACCAGCAGATGGAAGACCTCTCTCTCTCTCTCTCTCTCTCTCTCTCTCTCTGTCTGCAACTCTGCCTCTGAAATAAATAATCTTTAAAAAATAATAATTATTTTTTTATTTTTTTATTTATTTATTTTTTTTTTTGACAGGCAGAGTGGACAGTGAGAGAGAGAGACAGAGAGAAAGGTCTTCCTTTGCCGTTGGTTCACCCTCCAATGGCCGCCGCGGCGCGCGCGCTGCGGCCGGCGCACCGCGCTGACTCCGATGGCAGGAGCCAGGAGCCAGGAGCTTTTCCTGGTCTCCCATGGGGTGCAGGGCCCAAGCACCTGGGCCATCCTCCACTGCACTCCCTGGCCACAGCAGAGGGCTGGCCTGGAAGAGGGGCAACCGGGACAGAATCCGGCGCCCCGACCGGGACTAGAACCCGGTGTGCCGGCGCCGCTAGGCGGAGGATTAGCCTACTGAGCCGCGGCGCCGGCCTAAAAAATAATAATTATTAAAGTCTGGGCATGGGTGGCTTAACCAGGGCCCAGGGTAAGTAGCCACCCCTGGCTCCTGACTCCAGCCCCGCATCAATGCAGACCCTGGAGGCAACAGGGGAGGGCTCAAGTGCTTGGGTTCCTGCCACCCACGTGGGAGATCCAGATGGAGTTTTTAGCTCTTCTGGCTTTGGCCTCAGCACAGCTCAGCGCAGCCCTCACCGTCACAGGCATGGGGTGGGGTGGGGGGCCGTGCTGCTTCCGTGGGCAGAAGGTGGGATAGCCGTGGCACGTGTGGCCAGGGCCAGGTTGGGAGTGGAAGGTGCATACCTGCGTCAGGTGCATCCAGGCGGGGGGCGAGGAGGAAGAATCGGTGAGGACGCCCCCTGTCCCACCTCACAGGGCCTGTATTTGATTTCCAGCTCTGCTTCCCGACTCCAGCTTCCTGCTGGCCCACACCCCAGAGGCAGGAGTGAGGGCGCGAGTGGTTGAGTCCCTGCTGCCGGTGCAGGAGACCTGGATGGAGTTTAGGGCTCTTAGCTTCACCCTCTCACCCTGCCCACCCCCTCCATTGGGAGCACCTGCTTGCACTCGCGTCCCCCCCCCCGCCCTGCCCCCCGTCTCTGTTTCTGCTTGTCGAAAACAATTTTTTTTTTAAGATTTATTTGTTTATTTGAAAGGCAGAGTTAGAGAGAGAGAGGTCTTCCATCCACTGGTTCACTCCCCAATTGGCCGCAACGGCCAGGGCTGTGCTGATCCGAAGCCAGGAGCCAGGAGCTTCTTCCGGGTCTCCCACGCAGGTACAGGAGCCCAAGCACTTGGGCCATCTTCCACTACTTTCCCAGGCCACAGCAGAGAGCTGGATCAGAAGTGGAGCAGCCGGGACTCGAACCAGTGCCCATATAGGATGTCGGCCACTGCAGGGGGTGGCTTTGCCTGCTATGCCACAGCGCCGACCCCCAAAAAGAAATGTAAGAGATCACAGAGACCTTAAGAGAAAGGGATGGGAAATGCCCACAGAAGGAGACACAGAACTCGCAAGGCCTGGACTCGGGCGCGTTAGGGACTGAAAAGCCAGCAGGAGGAAGACAGTGTCTGTCTGTGTCAGTCTGTCTGTCCTGTGTGTACCCCCCAGCCCCCATCTTCCTCTCTCTGCCTCTGTGTCTGTTCCTCCTGTTCTTGGCTTCGCCCTGTGCCCGGCCAGGCCAGCTGTGGGGTCCCCACCTCTGCTGAGCACCCTCATCCCCAGTCCCGAGTCTCAGGAGGCAGGGACACGAGTGGGCAGCTTGGGTCAGTGCCTCACTGAGCACTGGACCTGCAGGGGACAAGGCAACTGCCAGCCTGCAACTTGATCGGGGCTGCCAATGGTTGGCACCAAGAGACCTGGACGGGGAGGCCTGGCACCAGGCCACAGCCCAGTGGGACCAGCTGTAGCTGTGGGGCCGAGAGATGGACCCCGGCAGGTGGCCCGGGTGCTTGCCAGGAGCACCCAGAGCTCCCTGGGGACACATGTACGGACCCTGAGGGGCAGCCCTCCGAGTTAAGACGCCGTCACAGGACCTGGCGTTGTGGGTTAAGCCGCCGCTTGTAATGCCCACACCTCACATTGGAGCGCTGGTTCGAGTCCTGGCTGCTCCACTTCCCATCCAGCTCCCTGCTAATGCGCCTGAGAAACAACAGACGCTTGGGAGACCCGGATGGAGTCCAGACTCCTGGCTTTGCCCTGGCCCAGCGCTGGCTGTTGTGGCCATTTGGGAAGTGAACTAGCAGATGGAGGATCTCTCTCTCTCCCTCCCTCTCTCCTCCCCCCTCCCCTCCTTCTCTCTCTGTCCTTCTTTTCAAAGAAAGAAATCTTGGGTTAAAAAAAAAAAAAAAACAGGAAACAGAGAGAAACCTTAAGAGAAGACCTCAGGGAGGGCCGGCGCTGTGGTGTAGCGGGTAACATGGCCGCCTGCAGTGCCCGCATCCCTTAGGGGCGCTGGTTCGAGACCCGGCTGCTCCTCTTCCAATCCAGCTCTCTGCTGTGGCCTGGGAAAGCAGTAGAAGATGGCCCAAGTGCTTGGATCCCTGCATGCCGATGGGAGACCCGAAAGAAGCTCCTGGCTCTGGATTGGCCCAGGTCTGACCATTGCAGCCATGTAGGGATTGAACCAGTGGATGGAAGACCTCTCTCTCTCTCTCTCTCTCTCTCACTCGGTCTTTAATTGTGCCTCTCAAATAAATATTTAAAAAAATAAAAGCAAGGGAGACCTCAGCAGTGCCTGTCTCCCGACAGAGGAGGGGTGCGGGGCCTCAGGAGGGCGGGGCCTCAGGAGGGCGTGGTGCTGTCTTGCAGGGAACATGAGCCGGCTGCACAACTCCATAGAGCCGCTCGTGATGGACGACGAGATGCTGAAGCTGGCCGTGAGCGAGCAGGGGCCTCGCGAGGAGGCCGGGCAGCTGGCCAAACAGGAGGGCATCCTCTTCAAAGATGTCCTGACCCTGCGGCTGGACTTCCAGAGTGCGTGTCCATGTCCCCTGGTCCCCCCGCCCGGGAGCAGCCCCCTCGCCCCCCCCCCCCCCCCCGGAACCCACGCGGGTCCCGGCACGGATGCGCTGAGGACGCCATACTTAGTGCCGTCGTCGTGTGACTGTCCACAGCGCCCCTGACCTGATTGAGAACAGAACAGATTAGAAACCCGTCCTGCTGCCAGTCTAAGCTCCGAGGGGACCCCACACTGGTGTCTGCAGCAGGGAGCTCCCAGCAGGTAGAAGCTTGGGGTCCTATGCAGCCGGCAGCTGGAGATAGGAAGCAGGGGCCCAGTAGCCTTGGTGGGGGGCGGGGGCGGGGTGGCTGAAGAAAGGGCAGGAAAGCAGGAGGGGGCAGGAAAGCAGGAGGGCGCAGGGCGCCTGAGGCCGAGAGGCAGCCCGTGGACGATGGGGCTGGGGACAGGTGGATCCCTCCCGCCTCGCGTCCCCAGCGGTGCAATGGGCGCCTGCAGCTCCCGACGGGAGACAGCCCAGCCGGGCAGAGTGAGGGCGTTTTGAGAGGAAGTGGGGAGAGCTTTGCGGGGATCCTGAACCCCCCGTGCTTTGTGCACCTGCTCTGATCCTCATCCCTGCTCCGTCTTGAGCCCTCCAGGCTGCCCAGGCGCCCGGCCAGCAACAAGGAGGGAGCGGGATTCCCTGGTGGGCAAGACGGGGTGTGGTCCAGGCCGGCCTTAATTAAGAAGCCTGTGGCTGACCGCCCCTCCCCCGTCCTGGGTGCTCAGCCTTCGCCGCCAGGGCACCTAGCTTCTTCCTCCAGGGCAGGGCGAGAGAAGGTGAGGCATCTCGGTGCCGCCATGCGCCGGCCCAGAAGCCCACGCGCCTCTCTCCTCTGGTCTTTGCAGACATCCTGCACATTGATAACCTCTGGCAGTTCGAGAACCTGCGCAAGCTGCAGCTGGACAACAACATCATCGAGAGGATCGAGGGCCTGGAAAACCTCGTCCACCTGGTCTGGCTGGGTGAGGCCCCTTCTGCGCATGCGTCTGCTCCCGCCCACCTGCCAAGGTTGCGCCGCGCCCCGCCCCTCCTCCCGCCTCTGCCCCCCACCCAGGGAGACGGCACTCTCACGCTTGACCCTCAGCTACCTGGGCACGGTCCTTAGCCTGGGCACGGCTGCTGTCTTTCAAAAGACCCGGGATCCACACTGGACAGAGCACAGCACAGACGGGCCATTCTGCTCCGCCCGCCGGCCTCCTCAGGCTGGGCGGGGCGCTCAGGGGGCTGCTACAGACTCCTCCCCTTCAATTTCCACTCGGATTGACAGGTAGCCACTGACTGGCAGGGCCCCGGGAGCAAAGCAGCAATAGTCATCGCAGAAGCCGGTGGGCCTGTGCGTGGGCTCCGTGAGCTCCGTGACCCCACACAAGCACCCAGCACCCCCACTGTGCAGATAAGCAAACAGAGGTCACAGTGCCTAAGAGCGACATGGGCTCTGGCCCTCCCTGCCCAGGCCGGGTGGGGGAGGATGAGGCGTTGGATGAACAGGGGCCATGCACTGGCCTCCCAGGGGCCATCTGGTGAGGGGCAGGTAGGCACCCAACAGGGAGAAAAGGATGGGCCTGCTGCGTTCCCACAACAACCCTAGGATACAGGTGCCTGGTACAGTCTACGCAAGAGGAGCCAAGGCTCAGAGAGGCCAAGGCGCGTGCCCAGAGCCAAGGACCAAGCAGTAGCAGTGCTGGGACTTGGACCCACACCAGTCTGACCCCAAAGCCCGTGTTCTTCCCGCCCCCAGCACACACACACACACACACACACACACACACCTTACCCAGCATTCCTTACTGTTGATTCCTGGGCACGGTGGCCTGTCCACACCATCAGGAGGCCTCTCTCTCTCTAGCCAGCCCTGAGCCACCGCCCCCACCCAAGGCCACCCTGCACGGGCCATCTGAATGCCACGGGTTGTTGTTTTTTTTTTTTTTTTTCCTTTTAAGTTTTCATTGAGAGCTTCCATCTACAAGTTCTGCACCCCCCAGCACAGCGTCAGGGGCCGGGCTGGGCCAAAGCCAGGAGGCACGTGGGTGGCAGGAACCCACGGCAGGGACCTCCCAGGTCTGCATTTAGCAGGAAGCTGAGTCAGGACCAGAGCTGGGTGTGAAACCCAGGATCTCCACTGTGGGACGCGGGCATCTTAATTGGCACATTAGCCAGCAGCCCAGCCCCCACACCCACACGGGACACAGGGCCGAGGGTGCCAGGTGTGCCTAGTGTCCTGCGTCCTGGGATGCTCTGTGGGTAGCTTGGAATTGGCCACAGTGGGAGTATGGACACCCACCCATCCCCCGGAACTGAGAAAGAACCACAAAGCAGGGCTTCCCCCACCCGCTGCTGTTAAACACTCACCACGCGTTCTTAGGGGCTGGGCCAGGCCCCTCAAGAACAGAACCTGGGGGCGAGTGTAGTGGTGCAGTAGGTGAAGCCGCTGCCTGGGACACCAGCCTCCCACGTGAGAACCAGTTCTGCCTCCCACTTCCCATCCAGCTCCCTGCTAATGTGCCTTGGAAAGGCAGCAGAAGATGGCCCAAGTGCTTGGGCCTCTACCATGCAGCCCGAGCTGTTGCAGCCATTTGGGGAGTGAACCAGTGGATGCAGCCAGAGGCAGGCATCAAACACGTGATGTGGACATCTTAACCTGCATCTCTCTCTCTCTCTCTTAGATTTATTTAGGCAGAGAGAATCTTCCATGCATTGATTCATTCCCCAAACCAATCCAAAGCCAGGAGCTTCTTCTGGGTTCCCCAACAAGGTCTTGGAACATCTACTGTAGCAGAGAGCTCTATTGGAAGTGGAGCAGCCAGGACTCGAACCGGCGCCCTATGGGATGCCGGCGCTGCAGGCGGTGGCTTTACCCGCTGCGCCACAGCGCTGGCCCCGAACCTGCCTCTTAACCATCGGGCCAGCTGCCTGCCCCTGCCGACTCGGAACTGACTGCAGACATCGCCTCAGTTTCTGTGCTGTGCTATCTGCAGCAGGTCGCCAGGGGGCGCCGTTGAGTCCCAGTTCCCTCATCTGCGGTGGGATGACGACACCTGTGCTATGAGGATTAAATAAGGCGGTGCCAGTCCAGGGCCTGGCACAGAGCAGGGGACAAGGAGATGTTGGCAGTGTCACCCGTGCACAGATGGGCGTCGCGGACATGCAGACGAGACCAATGATGCTGGGGTTAAGCTGACTCCCAACTCACCCTTGCAAAGTGAGTGCTTGTCTGCCAGGATTGTCCGTACTGCCAAGCTCAGGACAAATCCCCAGTGCCGGCCGCTGGCCCACTGGCCTCCTGCACAGGGTTACAACCCCAGCCACCAGCCAAGCCCGAAAGCTTGTGCCAGATGGGTTCCAGGACCCCCTGAGGTCACATCCCTGGATGCTCAAGTCCCCTGTGTAGAGTGGCATAACACAGGGCCAGCGCTGTGGGGCAGCAGGTTAAGCCATCTGCAGTGCCAGCATCCCATAGGTTCGCCAGTTCAAGTCCTGGCTGCTCCACTTCTGATCCTGCTCCCTGCTAATGGCCTGGGAAAACAGTAGAAGATGGCCCAGGTGCTTGGGCCCCTGCACCCATGTGGGAGACCTGGAGGAAGCTCCTGGCTCCTGGCTTCGGATTGGCACAGCTCTGGCCATTGCGGCCATTTGGAGAGTGAGCCAGCAGATGGAAGACCTCTCTCTCTGTCTCTCCCTCTCTCTGTAACTCTGCCTCTCAAGTAAATAAATAAGAATAAATAAATCTGAGGGGGGAATGGCATAACAGGAGGACACTTCAAAAAGTTAGTGGAAAAGTGAAATTAAAAGTTTCGGAGTCAGGATGTAGCCTTGCAGTGAGACACCTGCATTGTTGCCAGGCTCCACCCCCCACCCCAGTGCCCTCCCACTGCGGCCTCTGGGGGCAGTGGTGACGGCTCAGGTAGTTGGACCTCTGCCAGCCACCTAGAAGACCTGGACTAAGTTGCCGACTCCAGGCTTCAGCCTGGCCCAGCTTTGGCCCAACCCAGTCCTGATCATTGTGGCATTAGGGAGGAGACAGCAAATGGTAGTCTCTCTTTTGCCTCTCAGATAAATAAATTGGTGTTTAAAAAGAAACCTTTATTTGGGGCTGGTGTCCTGGCACAGTGGGTTAAGCCGAGGCCTATGTCACCAGCATCCCGTATTGGAGTGCTGGTTCCAGTCCTGGCTGCTCTGATCCAGCTGCCGCAAATGCACCTGGGAAGCAGCAGAAGAGGCCCAAGTGCTTGGGCCCCTGCCACCCGTGTGGGAGACCCAGATGGAGTTCCAGGCTTCTGTTTTCAGCCTGGTCCAGCCACAGCTGTTGCAGCCATTTGGGGAGTGAACCAGCAGATGGAAGACCTCTCTTTGTCTCTCTCACCCCCTCCCACCATCATTGTGCCTTTCAAACAAATAAGATAAATCTTTTTAAAAAAAAAAAAACATTTATTTGGTGTAAATAATTTTTAAAGATTTATTATTTTATATGAAAGAGTTACACACACACACACACACACACGTCTTCCATCCGCTGGTTCACTCCCCAGATGGCCACATCAGCTGGAGCTGCACATCCAAAGCCAGGAGCCAGGAGCTTCCTCCGGGTCTCCCACGCGGGTGCAGGGGTCTAAGGACTTGCGCCATCTTCCACTGCTTCTCCAAACCACAGCAGAGGGCTGGATCGGAAGTGGAGCAGCCGGGACTCGAGCCGGTGCCCCTATGGGATGGGCACTGCAGGCGGCAGCTTTACCCACTACACCACAGCGCCGGCCCCATCCGTGAACTTCTTAAAGTACCCTTATATTTGTGTGTAACTTACACCCATCCTTCCGAGTACTTTAAAGTATCTCTGGATTACTTCACAATACCTAAGCGGGGTAGATGAGATGCACACACACAGAGCACTGGATAAACCCGGAATTGCTACGCGGTGGGAGGCCTGAGGCTAGGGGCGTCCCTGAGCCCATGGTCTGCGGCTCAGAGCTGCCGGTCTCCGAGCTCTGACCCAGCGAGCGCCGCCCACAGGGGTGATGTGGTGAGCGTGTGAGGCTTCCAGAAATAATCGCAGGCTTTGCCCCGGGGGTGTGGGGGCGTGCCGCTTGCTGCCGGTCCGCGGAGCACCAAGTCCCCTTGATGGCCTCGCTCGAGGAGCGCCCACCGCCCAGCCCAGGCACCGGACAGCAAAGCCTCTTCACAGATCCGCCCCTTCCCTTCCCCCAGATCTGTCCTTCAACAACATCGAGGTCATGGGCCTGGACAGCCTGGTGAACCTGGAGGACCTGAGCTTGTTCAACAACCGGATCTCCAGGATCGACTCCCTGGACGCGCTGGGCAAGCTGCAGGTGCTGTCGCTGGGCAACAACCAGATCGACAACATAATGAATGTGAGTGGCCGACACGCACACACCCGTGCGCATGCGCGGGGCTCGGACAGGGCGGGGTCTGCCGCGTGGGCAGGTGCTGGAGCATCGCAAGTCTTCTCCCCCCTACCCCTAACCCACCTCCGCGTCGCTTGACAAGCCGGCTTAGTCCACCAGGGACCCGATCGTGTTGGGACAGCACGCTTCACAAAATCTGTCTGTGGCTGCCCGTTCACAGCCTTTGCCACGGCAACGTCTCGTTCTGCCCCCTCGGTCTCTGGCTCATTTAGCCAACGTTTGCCTGCTGGGTGCACTTGCTCTGTTCTCAGTGGGGACAGAGCCGGACAAGGCGGGTTCCCCTCGGGGCTGACCAGCCCACAGGTTAAAAGAACCCCTGGTGTCCCGTGTCCGCGGACGCCGGGGGCATCTGTGCGACACTGACAGTGGTCATCTCCAGGGAAGGCTGGTTGGCTGCCCCTGCCTCCCCACAGGGGGCTCCCAGCTCAGCAGGCTGGGGCTGAGACCGCCCCCCCCAATAGCTGGGGGTCTGGCAGCCTCGGGAAGGGGCCCACATCAGAGGTGACCCAACAGAGACCTTCCCCTGTGGTTCCTGGCCAGGGCCCTGGGAGCTGCCCCGAATTCCATTACTGCTTGGGTCAGATGGATGGCCTGGGCTGGAATCCCAGCTCTACGTGAGGCTGAGAGATGGATGGCCCGGGCGGCGGGGGGAGGAGGTCAGTCACCCAGATGGTCCCTATACGTAAATCCATCCATGACGGGGCAAATCCTGGAGGCAGTGTAGTCTCAGTAGTCTGCCCTGTATGCCCCATGGAAGCCAGCGTGCTTGTCGGGGGTCCAGAACTGGTCGCAGCCTGCCCCTCCCTGCTCTGCTGGGGGTGGGGGAGATCCACCGTGGACCAAGGACATGGCCTTGGATCAAGGGCTGAGATTTTAGCCACCTCCCAGCTGTCTGAGCTGGGGCCAGCGTCCACTTGCCCATCTGTGAAATGGGCTCAGCCAGTAGAGCTGTAGCGAGGACCGAGTGGACCCCAGAGTGTTCAGTACCTGACATGTGTGAGAGGCAGGGTTGCTGGTTCCCAGAGTCGGGGAGAGAGAAGGCCCCTAGGGAGAAGCGGCCAGGGCCAGAAGCTCCTGCGGCCAGGCTGCACCCGGGGTCCTGGAGACCCCGGTTGTCTCCACCTAGCTGTATCCGAGTGCCGGGTTTGGGTCCTGGCTCTGCTGTCAGTTCCAGCGTCTTATGCTGTGCAGCCTGGGAGGGTGGGCAGGTGACGGCTTCCGTGCCACGTACGTGGGAGATCCGGATGGAGCTCCTGGTTCCGGCTTCGGCCTGGCCCAGCCCCTGGCTGTTGCTGCCATGTGGGGAGTGAAAACAGTGAATGCAAGTCTGTGTGTGTGTGCACGTGTGTGCGTGCGCCTTTGAAAGGCAGAGAAAGAGAGGGGAGGGGAGAGAGAGCGAGCTCTCCTCTGCCAGTTCACTCCCCAAATGGCCACAACAGCCGAGGGGAGGGCCACATCGAAGCCAGGAGCCGGGAGCTCCATTCAGATCCCCCCACTTGAGTGACAGGGATCCAAGCGGGTTCTTCCCAGGTGCAGGGGCATGGAACCGGATCAGAAGCAAAGCAGCCGGGACTCAGACAGTACTCCAGTGTGGGGTCCCCAGACAGCATCTCAACCCATGAGCCACAGCGCCCATTTCAAAACACGCGGACTTTGAAGCAAAATCAGGCCCCCGGGAAAGAGCCTCTGTTACCCCCTCACCCTCTGTACCTGCGTCCCTGGCCGAGACCACAGCTGCGGCCAGGCATCCTGGCTCTGTCCAGCTGCCCTCCAAGCCCCGCCCTCATGTCCCGTCTCCACCCCCGTTAGCAGCCCACTCCGCTGCCTGCGCATATTCCGATGCCACGCGATGTACTTCCCCCGTCCCTCGGAGGTGGACGCTGAAGTTGCTCCAAGCTGGTGGCATCACACAGACCACCTCAGATGTCCTTGAACCCCAGGATGACCTCGAGCAGGGGTCACGTGCCTGGGTCAGCCACATGTAAGATACACTCCCGGCGAGGGTTGCTGGACCAGAAGGCAGGTGCATCTTCAATCTGGAGGCTCTGCCAGCTCGGCCTCCGGGGAAGTGGAACCGTTTACAAACCCCCGGTGTGGCCCGCTGCCTGTCAACTTTCGTAGCGCGCTCGCTTCTGAGGCTTTTCTCTTTGCCTGCCAACAAGCTGAGAAATGGAATCTCACCGGGAGATCTCTAAAAATGAAATCAGGCCCCGTCTTTTCTCATACACGCTTCAAACTCCACTGGCTTCCATCATCCTTAGAGCAAAATCCAAACCCTCGACCACAGCCTGCGGTTTTTTTTTTTTTTTAAGATTTATTTATTTGAGAGGCAGAGTTTCAGACAGACAGAGGGAGAGACAGAGAAAGGTCTTCCATCCGCTGGTTCACTCCCCAGATGACGCAATGGCCAGAGCTGGGTCGATCTGAAGCCAGGAGCCAGGAGCTTCTTCCAGGTCCCACGTGGGTAGCAGGGGCCCAAGCACTTGAGCCATCTTCTACTGCTTTCCCAGGCCACAGAGGGAGCTGGATCCGAAGTGGAACAGCTGGGACTTGAACCGGTGCCCATATGGGATGCTAGCGCCACAGGGGAGGCTTAGCCTACTGTACCACAGCACTGGCCCCAGCCAGCATGGTCTTACATGAACCAGCCCCTGACCTTGTCTCCACACTTGTATCAAGTCTTTCCTCCATCATACTGCAGCTGCCCCAGCCTTTCTCTGTTCCTGGTGTACCCTGAACTTGTCGCTGCCCCAGGGCCTTTGCCCGTGCTGTTTTGGCTCCTGAGAAAGTGCTCTCCTTGCACTACCACCACTGGCTCCCTCCCGTCTCCCATAAATGCCACTCTCACGGTCGGTGCTGTCTTTACGTTCCTTGTAGCACTTTGCCTAGTCTGTGATGATGCTACTTAATTTTAAAACACCCAGCACCCCCACCGTGTAAGCTCTGGGGTCCACGTGGGCTTTGGTCTCCCTGGGCACACACCTGAGGCTTGCTGCCTGCTTGGTCGTGTGCTATTTTATGACTGACGGCCTTGGGCGCAGTTCCGACACTGGGCGTGGGAGGCGCTGTGCGCTGCGGTTCTAGCGCAGCTGCGCATGGCTGTCTCCCGCTGGCTGGCCGCCGGTCTTGATCCATTGATGGATGAGAGGGGGTGGGGGTGGGGCATCCACGAAGCCCTGCCCCGAGGGCCCACAGACGACAACCACCACAGCCCTAACTTGGCTTCTGTGTCTGGATGTCAGGCGCCTTTCATCGGGCCTTGCTTTACGACGGCTGTAAACACGTAACATCCCTGCTCATTCCTCATTCCACGCACTGAGGCTTAGGGGAACTTGCCCAAGGCCCCATAGCTGGGATTGGAGCTCCCGTCTGTCCGTGCCTGACCAATATCTCAGGGCAATACTAGTCCCCTACCTGCAGGCCTGGACCCCCACCACCCACTCTGCACCTGTGCCCCACCCCGCCTGCCTGAGGCCTGAAGGTGCCAGGGCCCTCCCGGCTGCAGGGAGAAGGCGGGGGTGTGTTTTCCAGGC